TTGTGTGTACTTGGTATTTCATCACAGGATATTAAAAATACAGGTACTCAAGAGCTGAGATTTAATAACATGAAAAACTTTCATTGCTTTGTCAAAGACACTTGTGACAGGTTTTTCGTCTTTGAATTCTGAGAGTTCCCAGCAGTAAACAGTACAATGACCTATACCTATATAATGACTATTAATACAGTTTGGAACTACTGCTTTGTCTGATCCTACGGTGCCAGCAGTTTTACCAAGCTTTTCTAATTGAATCTTTTTATTGATATTAAATCATCAAGTAGTCAAGATGAGCACAGCAGTTTTTCCTATGGAAGCATGTTGCTTAATATTGTGAGCAGCTCAGTTTTCTTAAGTCTTCAGAATATATTTTTTAATTGTGACAAAATATGCATAAAAAGTTAGCATCATAAGGATTTTTAAATGTACAGAAGTGTTATCTAAACAAGGAAAGAACTCACTACCTCAAATGTGTAGGCAGAGAAACAATCCATCAAGTATCTACAAAGTAAGATGGTAGCACAGAAAGAAAATGAAAAGTCTCCACAAACCAAACACAAAGTCATGGAAGACTGATTTAAATGACAGAGAAGTCAAGATTATAATTATTTAGAAAATCAACGAGATTCAAGAAAACTAAGGCAGTTTAATTAGCATAAGAATAAAATTACTGAACACAATGAGTACTTTACCAAAGTGATTGAAACTATAAAAAAACAATGAAACAGAACTCCCGGAGCTGAAAATTCAATTAATGAGATGAAGAATGCATTAAAGAGCACTGGAAATATGCAAACCAGATGGAAGAGAGAAGAGCAAGTTCTAAAACAGAAACCTAGTAATATTTCAGACAGAGAGAGAATTAAGAGTTCTTAAAAAAATTAACGAACTCTACAAGAGCCCTGGCCTGGTAGCTCAGTTGGTTAGAGCATCGTCCCTATACACCGAAGATGTGGGTTTGATTCCTGGTTAGGGAACATACAAGAGGCAACCAGTGAATGCATAGATAAGTGAACAACAAATCGATGTCTCTCTCCCTTACTGGAGCTGAGGGAGGGAGGGAGGAAGAGAGGGCTCTATGAGAACAATCTGAACCCACTAGAAAGAGCTGTATAAAGATAATGGGTATACCAGAAGACAAGGAGAAGAGGACAATTGATCAGAACTTCCCAAACCTATGGAAGAGCTGTTCATTCAAATACAACCTAATAGAACACCTAATTAACTTAACAGAAAAACACTTTCTCCAAGACACATTATAGTAAACCTGTCAAAAGTTAATAAAGGTGTGCTCTCCTTCCCAGGAGCACACCAACATCTTTCTCTTCTCCTATAGGCATGCATCTCCTAAACTCTAAGGGGGCCCAGGAGACCTGCAACCCTGGGAGCAACAGGCAGTGGCACCTCATCCAGGGTAAAAAATTGTACCCGTCCCTAAGGCACCCTTTTCCCTGACTTCTCAGTGAGCCAAGCAGGCCCCGACTAGGCTCTCTCCTGTTGCTTCTTCTGTCCTAAGTCCTTTCTTGTTTCACTCTTGAAATATTAAAAAAATTTAATGACAAAGAATTCTCAAGGAAGTCAGAGGGGAAATGACAGTAAACTACAAAGGAAACCCCACCAGATTAATAACAGGTTTTTCAGTAGAAGCCAAACCCTACAAGCCAGGAGAGAATGGAATGATGTATTCAAAATATTGAAAAAGGAAACCACCAGCCAAGAATAATATTTCCAGCAAAGTTATCCTTTAGATATGGAGAAACAAAGGCTTTTACCAAACAAAAGCTGAGGGAATTTATTACAAAACCTGCATTACAAATGTTGAAATGTGCACTTCCACCTGAAACAAAAAGACAAAACATAGCAGAGGACAAGCAAAAGCAGGAAACTGGAACTTTATTTCAGAAATGGATATTAAACACAGCCAGAACACAAAAGATAAAATTGGGGTTGTAAGTACTCATGTATCAACAATCACCCTTAAGGTATATGTGCTGAACTCATCTATTTTTTTTTAAATTATTTTTTTAATCCTCACCCAAGGATATTTTTTCCATTGCTTTTCAGAGAGTGGAAGGGAGAGAGTGGGAGAGGTGGCGAGGAGAGAGAAATATTGATGTCAGAAACATCAATTGGTTGCCTCCCACAGGCACCCTGACAGGGGCCGGGGATGGAGCCTGCAACTGAGACACAATGTGCCCTTGGCTAGAATTAAACCTGGGACCCTTCAGTCCACAGTCTGTCGCTCTAACCACTGAGGAAAAACCAGCTAGGGCCTGAACTCACCTATCAGCTCCAAAGACAAAAACAGGCTCAAAGAAAACAGGTAGAAAATGATGCTCCAAGGAAATGGCATCCAGAAAAAAGTTGCCAGATTTATATCATATAGAACAGATTACAAGATAAAAACAGGTAACGAGAGACAAAGACTGAAATTGTATAATGATAAAGACAGTCCATCAAGAAGACGTAACACTTATTATGATATATGCACTCAACAGGGAACACCAAAAAGTATAAAACAAGTTATTAACAGAACTAAAGGGAAATATTAACAATTATACAGTAACAGTAGGGGACATTAATACCTTACAGCAAGAGATAGATCATCCAGACAGAAAGCCAACAAAAAAATATTGACCTTAAAAGACACATTAGACCAGATGGATTTATTTGACCTTTAGTAAACTTTCCATCCCAAAATGACAGGCTACCCATTCTTCTCATGTGCATATGGAACAATCTCAAGGAAAGATGATTTGTTGGGACACAAGTCTCAATAAATTTAAAAAGTCTGAAATCATACCAAACATACTATCTAGCCACAATGGTATGAAACTAAAGACCAACTACAAGAAAGCAGAAAAATCCAAAATATGTAGAGATTAAACATGTTATGAACAACTATTAGATAAAAAGAAATAATATCAAAATACAGAGACAAATATGCCTTCACCAGTGTGGCTCAGCTGGTTGGAGCAATGTCCCGTACACCAAAAGGTCGTGGGCTCAATTCCTGGTTGGGCACATACCTAGGTTGTGGGTTCAGTCCCTAGTTGGGACAAGAATGAAAGACAGCCAATCAGTGTTTCTCTCTCACATCAATGTTTCTCTCTTCTCTCCCCTAAAATCAATGGTGTTAGCCCACGGACTGAAGGGTCCTGGGTTCGATTTGGGCCAAGGGCACGTACCTCAGTTGCAGGCTTGATCCTAGGCCCGGGTTGGGGTACATGTAGGAGGCAACCAATTGATGTGTCTGTCTCACATCAAGGTCTCTCTCTCTCTCTCCCCCTTCCATTCTTTGAAAAGCAATGGAAAAAATATCCTCAAGTGAGGATTAAAATAATAATAGTAATTAAAACTTACTACAAAGCTATAGTAATCAAAATAGTATGGTACTGTCAGAAAACCAAACACACAGAAAAATGGAACAGAATTAAGGGCCCAGGAATAAACCTACACATACATGGGCAACTAATATTCAATGAACAAACCAAGAATATAACATGAAAAGGAAGTTTCTTCAATAATTTATTGTGCAAAACAATAAAACGAGACTACCACCTTACACTACACACAATAACTAACTCAAAGTGAATTAAATACTTGAATGTAAGACCTGAAACAATAAAATACATACAAGAAAACATAAGCGCTGAGCTATGGACACTGGTCTAAGAGGTGTTTTTTTAACTTAAAATTCAAAAGCAAGGAAAACAAAAGAAAAAAATAAACAAATGGACTACATAAAAGCTTCTGCATAGCAGGAGAAACCATCAACAAAAAAGGCAACCTACTAACTGGGAGAAGATAAGTTACTTATATCCAAAATATATAAATAACTCATACAACTCAACCAACTGAAAAACAAACATCTTTAGACATGTTTTAAAGAAAGACATACGGGTGGCCAACAGACATGTGAAAAGATGTTCACTATCACTTACTAGGGAAATGGCAATCAAAACCACAGTGAGATATCACCTCATACCTGTTAAAGTGGTTTATCATAAAAACAAAATAACACGTGTTGGAAAGGAAGTAGAGAAAAGTGAACCCTCGTATACTGTTGGTAGGAATGTAAATATGGAAAACAGTATAGAGGTTCTTCTAATGTCTAAAAACAGAACTAGCATATGATCCAGCAAGTCTTCCTCTGGGTATTTACCCCCCAAATACACAAACACTAATTTGTAAAGATACATGTAAAAAAACCACTGCCCCCACTCTGTTCACTGCAGCATTATTTACAATAGCGAAGACATGGAAACAACCCAAGTGTCCATGGACAGATGACTGGGGAAAAATGATGGGAGACATAGATGTATACACATAAACACAATGGAATACTAGTCAGACATAATAAAGGTTAATTATTGCCACTTGTGACAGAATGGATTTTTTTTTTAATGTTTTTTTATTGATTTCTGAGAAGAAGAGAGGGAGAGAGAGAAACATCAATGATGAGAGTCATGGATCGGCTGCCCCCTGCACGCTCCGTACTGGGGACCGAGCCCGCAACCCGGGCATGTGCCCTGACCAGGAATCGAACTGCGACCTTCTGGATCATAGGCTGATGCTCAACCGCTGAGCCACACCAGCTGGGCAGCATGGATGGATCTTGAGTATTATGTTAAGTGAAATAAATCGTATGAAAAAAGACTAAAAAAACAAAACTAAACTATGACTTCACTCACTGTGGAATATAAAACAAAAATAAACAAAAACAAAATCATAAATGCGCACAATAGAAGGGTCTTCACCAGAGGGGAAGGCAAAGTGAGTAAAAGGTTCAAATATATGCTAACAGAAAGAAACTACGCTTTGGGCATTGAGCATGCAACATGGATGTTGAATTATCATGTTGATAATCTGGAACTTATATAATGTTATTAATATTACTTCAATAAATTTAAATTAAAAAATAAAAACACTTTTCTAAAATGTGTCCTATCCTGAAGGTAGGAAATCAAACACAAATCAATCCATTTGGATTTCAAATATATATTTTTAAAAATAAATGTTTATTTCAAGTATAAAAAGTAATGTTTCAATATTATTCAAAACTCTGTCAGTTTAACAAGTATAAAAGACTTCTGACAAAAAGTTTACAATTAGGTATAAAATACTTACGAATATACTTTGACATTCACAGTGAGCACATTGGAAAACTAAGTTTTGCCAGTAAGTTTCAGAAACAAAAATATATTTGCAGTTCCAGCTAAAATAATGAAGTCCTTAACTGAAGAATATTTCTCCCTCAGAATAGTGGGCATTTCAAAAATAAGATTTGCATACGCATTCCTTTTAAAATAATAGTATACTTGGCTCAATAATTTTGAAATACAATACCTCATGGTTTCCCTGAAAAATACCATCTATTTCTTTTATCTGCTACCCACAAATAAGATTCTCAAGCCATTTTAAGTAATTTCAATGATACACATAACCTAAATGGAAACCAACTCTGAGAAATTTTATCATAGAAATTCTGTGTATTTCCAGCAAAGTATTCTGAACAGAAAATGACCAAAAAAAGTTCACGGCAATTACAGAACCATCAGAAGAACTGAAGTCTCAAAATTATTTTAAAGGACTGCTACCAAGGCTTCTGCTTCTCTTCTCCAGGTACATCTTTTTGTAGGACTGAAATATTCTCTTTGAATCCTTTACTGGGTTTTGTAGTGTCTCAAATCCATCTGCACTGAAGGTTCTCTTGGCGTTTCTTGAATTAGCCAAACCATTATCATCTAAGGAAACAGAAATTTCATTTATTTACTTTATTATTCTCTTAATGTTAGTGATCAGAACAATCAGAGAAAACGCGCATTCCTCTCGGATAAAAAATTAGGACAAGAAGTTAAAAGTTTGACCAAGTATGGCTTTTTTCAATCGGATTATAAATTACACACAGGACATCTTTCTTGACTGTCCTTTGGGGTTGTTTTCTACTCTCATTACTGTCTTATCTGTCTAGGGCCGTTCTGTGCTACCTTCTTCCTTGCTCAGTAAAAATCTCATTTATCATTTGGACACTATTAAGTGACCTTAACAGCAATCTGAACTAGCAATACGAAGAGCACAAACACCAACCAGCTCCAAACAGTGAATGGATCACTTTAAAACTCTGGCCTCGTTGTGCATCAGGTATTCCAAGGGTTGCCTGTAATTTCTCGTTAAACTGTTTTGGTGCTGCACTGGCCTCACTGTTCCTTTAAATCCAGGTTTTCAGATTTTGTGCAATTCTAGACGTGCCTCTTTATTTCACTGACGGTTCCCCAGATTCAGAATTCCCATGCTTTTCATTCCTGTTCTAGCCATTCCTTTCTGGATGAGTTTAAACTTTCTGCCTGGGTAGGTCAAGTATTCTGTCTTCTTAATCTGCTTCAAGTTCTTCTACACCCTCATTCTCTTCTCATGACATCAGTTGCGCTGATGCCTGGAGTGGGTCTCTATGTTGCTTTCCGTTGGATTCTGTTACTACTTCTTCACACTCTGAACTCTGCTACAAAATTTAGATGTATACTTATTTAAAATGTTTCTTTATAGCTGTTTGGGAGTCATGACATTTGTTTTCCTCTCACTTCACATAGGCTCACATTCTCCAGTCTCTTCATCTTGGTATTTCACCTTTCACTCTTTCCGAGGCCTCATCAGACTTCGACAGAGCTCTACAACTTGTATAACTGGTTCTCCCCTCATCTCGTTGTGATGAGATTTCTGTTAAAAGGATATACACCACTGCTTCCCTCTCTATTGCATGACAGAAAATAGGAGGGAATGTCTTCCTGCCATTCATCTGTGCAGCTGCAGATCTCATTGTGCTTGCGCCCAGTTTGTGTTTTCATCATGGTTTTCAGTACTGATGTTCCACCTTCCCTAGTAATTGCTCATCCCGTTTGTGGCTGTTTTTATTCTATCTACCACCTCACGTCTGAGAGCCTTTGGTCAACCTGTACATGCATCAATCTTCTGAGTCTTTTCATATTTAGATTCCAAGTATGGCTCTCACTTTCTCTTTGGGGTAATATTTATGTCTCTCCTGTTTCTATGGTCCTTTCTTGTTTCCATCTACACACACGTCTATTTTTCTAATTTCCTGTGTTCCAAAATATATCAGATCCCCTTTTATGGTCGCTTTCCTGTTCTGATTAAGAGGGCACTTCTCCTCCTTTGATTCAACTTAAGTTTTTTCCTATATGCACCTTCAATGTGTATGACTCAATTTCTACAAGTATTTGTGCTTTCAACAGTCTTTTCAACTTGTCATTCCTCTTTTTTTGAAAATGTGCTTCCCTTTCCTGTCGCTTATGTTGAAATTGCTTTGCTCCATTTTCCAGCAACTCTAAACCCTTGTCTTTAACATATTCAACTGACCAAAACTAAGACAAAACACCAGAACGTGAGCTTCTAGTTCTCAAGGCAAAACCCTAAATATAAACTAGATTCATTCCACTAATTAAACTGGATATGAAAAGCTCTGGTTTTATGGTTGGCCCTCAGCCCAAATCCCTCCCCAGCCAAAAAAAAACTTTAGCAGCATCAGTCTCTCATCATCAAAATAACTCAATTCCACACTTAGGAAACAGATCACTTCCCTCCTGATATCTTCCTACCACTGATACACACAAACACTGTATCTTTTTGGGAGGGGCGGGGAAACAGCGGATACAGAGTTTATTCAATATCTAGCACAGACTGGCCAAACTGCCTTCTACCACATGAACAGAAAGACCTCAGAAAAGGCAGAGTTGTTATAAAATCCCTTTAATTCAGTTCTCTCCCAGTTACAAGCTGTCAGGCGGCCAGTGGAATATGCCATGCTCCCTCCGCATTAACAATACTGAGCCTATCACTGTTAGTATCAAGATATACATCTGTGTCACCATGAAAAACAGCATTTGCTGCCCCTCATGTCTTACAACAGATATAAAAAAGTATAAATATATTTATAACCTTGTCCCACACCTAGACATGAAAGCTCAGGGTTCTAGGCACTAAGAAGAGGGGCTGGGACAGCCAGCATGAGGTCTGTTCAAAGGGAAGCACCTTGGACCTGTCAATGCAGGACTGCACAAGGTGAAGGATTCAGCTGATACTCAAGGGCTGCTTTTGGAGTAGACAATAAGAAAACAACAGAAAACTTTGGTCCAAAATTTGCAGGACAAAAGAAACCCTGAAAATTTTAAGAGCCCTTGTCCTCCCAGACAGAGGACAGGTTAGGTGTAAGGCTCTGGGGCTTTCTAGGAAGAACCCAGGCTCCTCAGTAGCCCCCATCATGTCTGCCCTGGAATCTAGATTCTGCCCTGCAACTTAACTACCAGGAACAAAAGGCACAGTGCACAAGGTCATATAAGGAGGAAATGCAGATTATACTCATACCATTTTTATAAACGCTATATAAAAGGCTACCTTTTTATTTCTTCTGCATGTAAATGAAGACTAGAACATTTGGTCAACTGAAAATATTGCTACGCACAGGTGTCTGCAACTGCATCAAGGCAAAATTCAGAGATTTACGATGAAACAAAGCTCCAAGCTGAAGCAGCAGCAGGGACACACCTTCAGGGGTCTCAGCCCAGCAGGGGAACCTCAAGCCAGGAGTAGAGAGAATCACACACTTGATTAAATGGAGGACTGAAATGTTGGCACACCTCGCAGCTGGCAGCCTCCTGCTAGGTCAGGTACATGATCCCTGCAGGAGGCAGTCCCCTCAGTCCCCAAACCCCTAAGCACTTGATACAAGAAAGCTCTGCCAAGAGCAGTGCATTTTAAGCCACAAGAAATCCGAGTGGAGGTTTGGGACTGCCCACCCCACAGGCTGCAGAGGGCACAGGAAAGGGGGCTAAGAAGGAACAGGTGTATTGTCAACATGTAATCAAGAACCTTGAGGCCGGCACCCCATCTCCACGAGGTAAGCAGGATGAATTAGATTTAATTTTTCAAACAATAGGCAAACTGATTTCTCTTTAAAAAATAAAATGAAATAAAATCTCTGGTTTTTTAAGGTCACTTCAGCTGCTTTTAAAGTGGCTATGTTCTGGAATGACGGAGCTGGTCCTTGGCATCGTACCTAGATGGTGGACTTGGAAAAGGACACCTGCAGGTAGTGGTTCTCACCCAGGTTGTGGTTGTGCAGGTCAATGAGAGCCTGGATGGCTTCCTCCACTGAACCCATCTGGATGATCAGTGCCATCTTCCTGTTTCTCTTGAAGAACCTGAACCCTTTGATAATTCTGCCGTCGCTGGAGAAGAAGATCTTGAGGTCATCCTCAGATGTTGAGGGCAAAATGTTGGAGAGGTCTGAGGGTGAGAAGATGTACTGGAAGTCCTCAGAGTCTGGCTTCCTGAAGCGGTGCAGGGGTGACGTCGAATAGTCCTTGGTGAGGTCCTGCTCCTCCTGGCCCTTGCACGGCAGCTGCCCATTCTGGTGCTCGGAAAGCGTGATGCACAACGGCTTCCTGTGTATCTTGTGCCCACTGAGGTGGATCATGGCCAGCTGGGCCTGGATCCCATCCACCATCTGCACCAGGGCATTCTCCTTACTTAACAAAATCTTCACCCGCTGCACATCACCATACACACCAAAAAGAATAAAGAGGCTCTGGAGTGTGACTCTCAGGGTTGAGGTTGCAGACCAGCAGGACAGAATTTCCAGGCCCTACCAGGCGTGGGATGGCGAAATGGCCTACCACTGGTGCCCCTGCCATCGACAGGATGGCCAGAGAGGGCAGGGCCCAGAGCAGATTGGGACTGTAGAGGCCTGCAGCTGAGTCTGACATCCTAGGTACACTGAAGGCCGTAGCCATGCTCTGGTCCAGTGAGGACTGGCTGTTACCAGTGGGCAGGGCAGGACAGGTATAGTCTTGGCTCCTGTTATTATTGTACTTGACACTGAGGATGGTGAACTTGGGAAACTCAATGTGGAGTGTGCAGCAAAGCAGATGCCCAGCCCGTTCAGCAATGCTTTCCTGTGCTGGGCACCCTCAGGTTTGACATATTGCAGCAGTGCTTGGAACCTGTTGTTCTTGATGAAAGTGATGATTTCAGAACTATGCCAAAGTGGGAAAAGATCTGGTGAAGCATGTCTACAGTGACTAGACAGAACAGGTTCTCTATGATAATCCTGAGCACTGGGCTCTGGCCTTTCACCGCCATCCCAGCATCCACAGCACCAGTGGAGGCAGCCAGAGCCAGGTTCTTCGACTGGCCAGAGTTCACGGCCTGCAAGGCTGACTGGACCTGTGCCTGGTTGGGTGAGCTGTCGGTCTTGAGTTCCTTGTGGTTGGAGAACTGGATGCAGATGGGTTGGCCGCGAAGCATGGGCATTGTGGAGGTGTAGTAGTTCACCATCGCGTTGGCTGCCTCCTCCATGTTCATCTCAATAAAGGCCTGGTTCTTCCCTTTCAGCATCAGGAGGCTGGTGACCCTTCCAAAGCGCCGTCCTCAGTGACATCCCTCGAGAACTTCCTGAAGCAGATCACTCTGGAGAGTACACCTGCACTTCTGTTGTCACCTTTGAACTTCTTGCTATTATTTCTGTTTGCTGTGGAAGCTCAATTGGGTCCGTTAGTAACATAGGCAGAGAAGAGCTCATCAGAACCCCGCTTGGTACCAGCTGCTTTGTCAGGGACAATGCCGTTCATGGCACACAGAAGAGATTCACAGGGATTGGAGTGCAGGTGCCGGAACGGCTCTGAGTTATAGACTCCTGAATCATTTTTAAGTGAATAAAAATCACACTTCATCATAGTTGCAGCTTATATATAATCCAGCTTATATATGATAGAGTAACAGAAAAGCAAAGAAAAAAATTAAATAGATGATGACATTACCTATTTCTTGGTTGGCTTCTGGAATCCTTTTCTCCTCAAGTGAACCTTTTATCCAGTCTTCTTTTGTACTTTTTATTCCTGTAACTATTTAAATATTTATTTTCAGATATTTACATATTACTATTCACCACTTTTAGTACTATAATGAAGAAAAGTCAGGTAAGCCTAAAACAGACTTAGAACATATTAATATAGTCACATACTAAACAGGAAAATGTTTTCTCATATTTGAAGTGCCTAATTATCTCCCATTTGAAAAACGTTGCTCTAAAAGTTCACCTTCACTATGTAATTATGTTTCGCCCACTTGGGCTGAACACCAACACATTTCAAGGTATTTAAAGCCACATGAGGGAAACATCATTCACATTGCCTCCACCCACTTTCAATGTTCCCATTACCTCCATGCCTCCTAAGAACCTAGTTAAAAGCATGAAGTGAAATCACCAATGCTTTACAAAATAAACTGTATATGTTTTAATCATACATCCCTTTCACCTTCCAAGAAAATGTACCTTATTTACACTGTTACATTATGCACCTTAATGGATACTGTCTGAAAAGCACAGGAGAAACAGATTCCCATTCAAATCTTTCAGTTTTTCAATCTGGGATTCTCATCACAATGTTTTATATATAATATCCACAACTCCTAAATGTTTCCATACTACTACTACTAATTAAGTCATCTATTCTTTCCTTGCCTCCTGTAGTACATTGAGAATTTTATCATTCAGCTAACCAATGGTCATGTTTGCCATTCTAGGTTTAGTGACTTAACATTGGACAATACTGCTTCCACGGTCCTCCCTTTCATGAGTAGACCAGACGTTACCACTTTAACTATAGTGAGAACAGTCAACTGTTTCAAAGATGGTAACAGGTTAAACATTTACAAAGTATAAAAAGTTTCACTAATAATCATTACGTATCTCCCAATATTTAGACAATAATTTCAAAACCAGAGAACTATGAAATTTCAAGTCCAAAGTGAATCAACAAGAGTTAATACTCTCTAAATAACATATACATTTCTAACTTAACACAATAAATATCTTTCCACAACATAGGATTCTTCGTACAAAAGGAAATCTTTGTATTTGGCAGACCTTACAATTTTACATGCCTTATCATTAGTACAAGCTTATTACAATTTATAATAAGAAGATAAAGTTAAGATAACTATTACCCAATCAACTACTGACTTACTGAGAAATACAAATAAATAATGGCAGAAACACATTCTCTTTCCTGGCTCCCTAGATGACAGGAAAGGTGCTAACCCACTTTTTGACCCAGTGCTTTACAATATTGCAGACACCATCAAAAAAATCATACTGGACCTTGCACAGTGGCTTGCTCCTTCCTGGGACAAGGCTGTAGATCCTTCTGTACTTCAATGGAGTTTGTATTCTTATTAATCAGTCCATCTGGACACAATTTAAACTCCAGCATGCTTTGTTTTTCCGTGTTTTTCTTAGGTAAAAGTTTCTTAGGTTTATTTTCCATTCTCTTCTCTTTATTAGACTTCTTGGGCAAACTCTCAAGTTTTGTGAGACAAATGCTCTGGTGTTCAGTGCATTTAAATGCAACTCTGTTCAGATACTGTTTCCTTTGCTCCTTTGCTTGGGGTGACATCTGGCTACGTTCAACTCCATTATTAATACTGCTTAAATTTTTGTCTAATTTGGCTTTGTCGATCCACATTTTATCAGCCTGCTTTCTACCAACTGTTTCTTTAACACTCCCCGAAAGGGATGATTTAGACACACCAGAATGGTGAGGTTTGAGATTTTTATCCAAAACTTGGCTTGTGCAAGTACTTAATGACTCTTTAGATGTCTGCACATTGCTACTGGGTCCCTCATGGGATTCCCCACAACTCCCCACTTGCACAGAAAGTTTACTGGACCTCACGTACTGAGAATCGCATGGTATATTTTCCCCATCGTTTTTCCTTGATGCTTTCATCATTTCTTTAAGCTTCTGCCTTTTTAAGTACTCCTTTGGTGATATAACCCTTTTACTATCTTTAGAGCATGAGGACTTAACAACTGATACTATCTTTTCTTTAACTTTGGCTCTTCCATCTGTGTTTGACAAAGAACTACATATTTTAAATGTGCCGCCTCCATTTTTATCCTGCTCTTGTTTATCGTATTTCACCCTCTTTATCTCCGAATGAAGCATGCTCCCTTCACCTGACCGCCTTTTTCCTGAAACTTTTTGTTCAGAGTCACCTGCTTTCAATGTTCTCTTTTCTGGCAACATTGGATGTATCAAAGAACCATTCTTCATTTGCAGATCTTTACTTTTAATTTTCAAGGAACCTGCCTTTGCTTTTAGCAGACCGGAGTTTTGTATTATAAGCTTTCTCTGCAAACTCTCTCGAGGAAATTTTATTTTATTACTAGAGTGAAAAGTTACCTCATGAAATTTCAGTTTTCCTTTCCTTTTGTGACTTTCCAAGGAATCTAGTTTTGTATCACCTTTAGATAAAGGTTGACTGGATAATTCTTGTTCTGTTCTTCGTGAGCTTTTTGTTTTGGATATATCTTTTATATTGTTGCCTTGTTCTATTTCAGGAAAATGGTTTGTCCCATCCGGAAAAGACAGAGCAGTCTTCGGACTGTTATTTGGAGGATTATTAAGTACTATGGAAACATCTCTATTACAGGTGCTCTCTCCTTGCTTACAACTGTTGGTCTCCAAAGAACACTGATCTTTCCCTTTTTCTACCTTTGAAGTTGAGTCCTTGATGGAATTACACTGGCACTTGGGTACTCCTTCATAAACCATAGAGAGCCACCCCAATGCACAGCAACGGATATCATCTTTCTCGAAAGCCATTACAGAATTACAATTTTCTCCATCTGTACGTACTTGTGGGTCACACTGGCTCCCTTCTTTCGTGACAGGGTTTTCTTTCTCAGGTTCTGTCAATTTGCCTACCTCAAATGGCTGATGATTCTGTTCAGGAAATAATTCTTTCATTTGCTCTGAGTTTAATATTGTAATTTTTATTTGGTCTGTCGAGTCTTTGGAGTCACAGCTGGTTTTATCACAAGACTCATCTTTTGAGATTCGGTCTGTTATTTGTTGTGTTAGAGAACCTTCGCATGTTGTGTTCACAGCTTCAATACCATACGGAAACTCTTTCAAAAGCTCCGACAGCTGATCGTGTGGGTATAAGGTGGATGTGTTATCATCGAGAATCTCATTTGCTGCAGGATCCTGGGCAGTGTAACTGCAGGACACATCGATTTCCTGAGGGTTACCGTCCTGCTGAATAGTTGATAAACACGTATCTTTGGCTGTGCTTTCTTTTTTAGTAATATGCTTCAAATTGCTTTCCTCTATAACTTCACTACTTGCTTCAACATTCTTCAAAAGTGACGACTCTGGAGGTTGCAGTGACTGTGATTGATCAGGTATTTTATGTGAAACACCTCTGTACTGTACAAAACTATCTTTTTGTAAACCAAACTCTTTATTTTCAGGAACGTTGTCTATTTGTTCTTTTTGTTGTCTACTACTGGTCACTTGGAGATTGGGTAAAGGTTCCTGTGGCTCATCCTTCTTCACAGGAGGTGGGTTGAATATCTTTGCTATTTGGGAATTATAAGATGTATCACCTTCAACCAGAGAACATATGTTGTCAATCTTCAACAAATCACTATTCACAGTATCACTGTCCCTTGATTTAGATGAGGCCTGCTGATCACTCACAGGACAGTGAGTATCTGGTTCTGATTTGACATGGTTTCCTTGGTTGGTGTTAGGTGTACCTTCTGAATCACCATTAGTTGGTGCATTTTGCTTTTCCTTCTGAATTAGTGGGAAAATCTTGGTGTTTGTTGTACTTGTAACTGGTTCCTTTACTTTCAAAGCAGCAGTAACTCTTGTATTTTCTATCAACTGATTCTGTAAGCTACAAACACTGCCTTCTTTAATAACTGGATACACTGTTTCAGGTAACGGTTCAGATGTTATTCCTTTGACAGGCAATGTTTTCATATCTGAAAGAATTAAGGGTGACACTACAGCAATCTGAAGTTCTGTTCCCTTTGTAATAGCTGCACCTGAAGCCTCATAATTTTGCACCACCATTGGCAGAGCTGTTACTTCTGAGCAGTTTACCACCTTATTCTGAGAATTTCCCACAACTGAAACTGGCGTCTTATCACAGACTTCCCCAGGTTTTGGGAGTCCAACTGTTGTTCTGTTTGTTGTAAACTCATTACACTGTTTTTTTCCTGTAGGTTCTGAAGATTGCTTTTTCCACAGAGAAAGACACGTGGTTATCAATTCCATAGAACAGTGACCGTCACTTTTCGGAGTTATTCCATTTGGTGAAGGTTTATGGTCAAGGCAAAAAGCATTTTGTGAAATCTTGCCATTTATATTACAAGGGCTTGCAGTTTCCATGGTTTTCAAGTTCACCTGGTTACCAGTGACTTGGGTATTGGATTTCATTTCAAAACTGTGTGGTTTAGAATGCTGAATAGTTTCACAACCATCTTTTACTAACGTCTTCTCAATTTTATCTCCATGTGCAAGGAGACCGAGAAGTAGCCTATTTTTATTTAGATGTTTCGAAGCATATTCCTCAAAGGCCAGAGACTGGGGAACAAAATTTGTTTCAGGATTTGTTTGCACATTTTCAACACTGACTGCATTTGCTGATGAAAGCTGGGTGTTATTTAATGCTGCATGAGTACTCTCGACAGGTGATGTCTTTAAAGAAGTTGTAACGTTCAAATTATGTAACTGGTCTGGCACTGCCACCTTTCCCGCACACACCGAATTTAGAAACATGGAATTGACCTGGTTAAAATTTAGGCAATGGGTGTCCTGAATGTTAGGATTCAGTGCACTGTGTGTTCTGTTTGTTTCTTCTGCAGTTTCCATTACTGTGGGTGGTTTATCCCCTGCAGTCTCTGGAGTGACTAGGTTTACCTGTGGTCCAGACTGGGTTTTGGCAGTTTGTTTCAGAGACAGCTCGGAATTTTGAGCTAATTCACCATAAGAGTTTTTACTTGTCTTAATACAACCTGCTGACAGTAAAATTTTATTGATTTTAATTTTCCTTGCCAGTTCAGAAAATTTCTTTTTTATTTCTACTAATGTTTTAATATCCCTCACCAACTTTTCTTTTGTGAAACTTGTGTCGAGTACTTGATTTGAAGTTAGGTTGCAAGAATCTACTCTTTCTTCTTGAATATGTTGAGGAAGAATCTGAACACCATCCACAGAAGATCTAATGGGGTCATTAAAAGGCTGACTGACATTAGTATTTACTTTCACATTACATAAATTTCCAATCATGCTGACGTTTTCGTTGAGGTTTTGCTGTTGAAAGCCTCTGCAAAAGTCTTTCCTCATTTCAGATACATGTGCTTCTTGACTCTGAGGAACTTCTACAGAAGAGTGCTGAATAACATGCTGAGTATTTTGCAAAGGCTGGCTTGCATATCTACAGTCATAAGGAGGAAGAGGTCTTTTGTCCATCTGAGGAGCTGCATATTGATAGGACGGTACAAGTGCGGTCTGCTTTGACCGTAAAGTCAGTGAAGAATTTGGAGGATGACTATTTTTAACTCGTAATGATGTAAGTGGCATAGGATTTTGTTTCTGAAGAGTAGGACATTGCAAAAAGCTTTGTGATGGGTAACTATATTGCTCTGGAAGTGGTCTATAATCTGGATAAGTCACTCCATTGGGTGTATACTGTTGTGCCCAGTCACCTTGTCGCTCTGATAAAGATGAGGTAAGTCTCTGGTTTCCTTGATAAGTTATAGGAACTCTTACAGAATTAGAAGGGACCATCTGTCCTTGCATAAAATAGGTTTCTGATGTTACAAATTGATTTTGTAGTGCATTTACATTGGGTATATTAGTTCTAAAACCAGTCTGCTGAGATACAGTTGGCCCAGTATGAGAAAACACAGAATTCCTCACTGGTGACTTTGACCACACATTTTGTGCAATTCCTGAAGACATTTGCAAACTGTGATTTAGTTGCTTGGGTCCTTTCACATTTGCAGATGTTATTCTTTCTACTGAAGCTTGTGAGGCAAAAACTGTCCTACTAGACATATCAGATAAGGAGATTTGTTGAGTAGTTTTATAATTTCTGATGTTGAGCAGTGGCTGTGAAACTGCATTTGAATTACTGAGAAACATGCATGCAGGCTGGTTACTCCCAGGAGAGTTTAAAGAACCTTGAGATGGTGTGTTTATTAAACTCGGCTCCAAAAAAGATGACTGGTTTTTAGGATACAACGGTGGTAAGGTGACAGTCTCTGGTTTTGCATTCCAATTCATTGTTGATTTGATGTAGTAGAAGTATATTAAAAGTCAGGTTTTTTTAAATCCAAGGAATCTGTAGAAAATAAAAACCTTTTATTAAGCTATTTTTGCCTGTACAGAACTTCTTAAAAAATTAGTTTACCTTAACACCAATGCTGACTATATCTATTATACTTCCTGAAACCTGAGAATAGACAAATCCTCATCTTTAATTTTGGAAAGGGGAAGAGCAAATGAGGAGACAACAATAAATATGACGAATGCCATTAAATACTTCTGGGACATAACAGGAATTCATTCTACACAATACAGTTAATATTTTATTTGTTACGTTTAAGTGGTGATTACTTTCTGCTTTTATTATTGTAACCAGCTCTTTATTCTAAGTAATCCACATTCACTATTAAAAACAGATTAAAAAATATGCCCAACCAGCGTAGCTAAGCGACTGAGCATCAACCTATGATCCTGGAGATCACGATTCAATTCTGGGTCAGATCACATGCCTGGGTTTTGGGCTCGATCCCCACCAAGGGGCATGCAGGAGGCAGCCGATCAACGATAGAGATTGGCTTCTTAATTTTCCTCCTTTTCATTTTTGTTATGCCAGACTCAGTAAGTGAGCTGTGAAGCATCTCCTCTTTTGTCCTTTAGAAGAGATATTGGATTATTCTATGAATGATTGGTAGAATGCTAGAATGCCCCAGTGAAGTTGTACGGGCCTGGCATTTTCTTTGTGAAAAGATATTTAGTTTCTTTGAAGAGATAAGGTATTATGTCAGTCCTGATTAGGTGTGTTTTTCAAGGAATTTCTTCATTTCACCTAAATTTTGAATGTATTAGAATAAAGTTACTTAAAGTAAATATTTGTCATTTTAATGTCTGTATGGGTCTAGGGATAGTCTAATGCTGTGTTGACTTTTTTCCGTGATCAGTGATGTGAGTGCAGAGGCTTAATGATTTTTTTTTTTTTTAAAGAATCAGCTTGTGGCTTGTTGAATTTCTGTACTTCCATTCATTATTTTGTTTACTGTCTTTATTTCTTTAATTTCTATGGTTTACCTTATTATTCTCACTTCTTGTGATGTGGAGATTATTTCCCAGTTTCTTTTTTTTTTTTTTTTTTAAATCTTTATTGATTTCAGAGAGAGGAAGGGAGAGAGGGAGAGATAGAAACATCAATGAGAGTCATTGATCAGCTCCCCTGCTGGGGATCAAGCCCAAAACCCCGGCATGTGCCCTGACTAGGAATGGAACGGTGCTCTCCTGGATCATAGGTCGATGCTCAACTGCTAAGCCAAGCCGGCTGGGCAGATGGAAGGACTTTTGATTGATTTCAGAGAGAGAAAGAGAGAGGGAGAGAGAAACGTCAATGATGAGAGAGTCATTGATCGGCTGCCTCCTGCACACACTCTTCTGGGGATCGAGCCCACAACCCAGGCATGTGCCCTGACAGGCTATCAAACTGAGATCTCCGGGATCATAGGTGGATGCTCAACCGCTAATCCACGAAGGCCAGGCTCTACAGACCTTTTAGACGAGCGATTTTCAACCTTTTGCATCTCATGGCACACAAACTAATTACTAAAATTCTGAGGAACAGCCTGGCTGGTGTGGCTCATTGGTTGAGCATCCACCCATGAACCAAGAGTTCCCCGGTTGATTCCTGATCAGGGCACATGCCCAGGTTGCGGGCTCGATCCCCAATAGGGGGTGTGCAGGAGGCAACCAATTAATGATGTTTCTCATCGATGCTTCTCAGAATCTCTCTCTATCCCTTCTCCCTTCCAATCTCTCTAAAATAGATAAAAATGTAATTTTTAAAATAAATAAAATTCTGAGGAACAAAAAATATATTTTTTGCCAACCTAACAAAAAGAAATAGGTATAATTTTGACTCATTCACATCTGGCAGCTAGTGTTGTGCTGGCTGGTGTCATTTTTTAATTTGACAATCTAAGGGAAAAGAGGTCAGTGCCCCTGACGAAATAGTCAGGTATCGCATGTTTAAAAATTCTTGTGGCACACTGGTTGAAAATTGCTATTTTAGACTATTGTCATAATTAATTAAAATCCCTGAAAACAAGGTAAATATAGAAGAAAACACCAGCAGTAATTAGGAAAAAATACCATTTTCAATATCATAAAAAATCAAATGCAATGATAAATGTGCAAGACCTCTGATTAGTACAAAGACTTAAGTTTAAGGATATGCCATATTCAAATATTTGAAGACAATTAAGGACATTAATTATCTCACAACTTACATATAAATTCAATGCAATCCACGGGAAAATTCCAAGAAACTTATTTTGGTGAAAAATTACAAGCTAATTCTAAAATTTGCATGGAAATGCAAAAAAGACAGTAACAAACTTTTATATGTATCGACATGTGAATTAGGACAAGACTGGATGGCAGAGTGAGTTGTAGTCTATTCACTAACTCAAGAAAAACAAGACTGAAGGCATGTACAAGTCCTAAGGAGAAAATCTATGTATTCCTCACATGCTTTCTCTAAAGAAAGCTCATTAATAAGGTAACTGACTAACTCCGTAGAAGCGTAATTCAAAATAAAAAGCATCTTCTATCTAAAGAGTTACTGATGCCTAATAAATTCCCCCTTCTGTGAACTTTGGGGTGGGAGCCTGTCATTAATTAAACTGAGTCCCCCCCAAGATTCATGATTGAAGGGATAACCCTCATTGGGACTGCAGCTGGAGACAGGGCCTTTATGATGGTAATTAAGGTTAAAAGAGATCATAAGAGTGAATCCCTAACCCAACAGGAACAGTGTCCTACAAGAGAAGCTCGAGGTGTATACCCACAAAGGAAAGATGACATGAGGTCACATAAGAGAAGGTGGCTGTCTGCAAGCCAGGGAGAGAGGGGCCTCAGGAGAAACTAAACACCTGATTGTAGACTTCAAAGCTCTAGAACTGTGAGAAATAAATGTTGTCGTCTAAGCCACCCAGAGCAGATAGGTAGGAAGAGAAATGAACTTTCTGAGTAATTTGGGATTTTTCCCCCATTCTCTCTCCTTTGAGGAAACAGAAGACACTGAAGTCTGGAAAAGCATCCCTGCACCACCTAAATTAGAGGGAGGGAATTCTGTTTTCTAACTTTTTTTTATGATTGCAGAGTGTCTATTTTTGAATACAATGCACTTTTAGACCTTTTGAGATAATGGGTATTACCACAGACAGATTTCCAGTCTATCATTTTAATTTCTCTTGTGAAATTAAATCCTTTAGGCCCAGAATCTCCACCCTGCCTACCCCCTTTTATCAACCCTCACCTGTGACAACAGTGGCACTCACCTGACAAACCCCAGCTAAGGTTGAACATATGAATCTCCTCTGCACAAGAGCAGCCAGTTTTCTGGAGGAAAAAAAAAAAAAAATCACATGTCAGCAGACTAATTTTACTTCGTGAACATAAATATCAAGTTGAACAATGACCAATAATTCTACTTTATTTTATTGAAACTTATTTATACTGAAAATAATTTTATTGTCTAAGACCTCTTCTCTCCTCCCTTGTCCCCAGTCAGTCCAAACTACACACAAGCTTCCCTTATTCAGAACATGTCGAGATACCCCCATCAAATCTATGAAACGTGCATCCTTGTAATCTGCATTTACAGTGACGTAACCGACCTATCAAATCTCTGAATTTAAAATCCTACTTCCCCCTCTCTTTTATTCCAGGTATCAACCTGTCTCCATTGAATTAGGTCACTCACACACGTGGGTGTATGCATATACACAGACTCTAGGGCAGCCAGTATTTAAAAAACATAACTCAAAAACATTCGCAAAGATGTATGCACCCCTATGTTCACTGCAGCAATATTCACGGTGGCCAAGACATGGAAACAACCAAAGCATCTTGCAATAGAGGAGTGGATCAAGATGATGTGGCACATGTCCATGGATGGAATACTACTCAGCCATAGGAAAGGATGAAACACTGCCATTTGCAACAACATGAATGGACCTTGAGAATATTATGCTAAGTGAAACAAGTCAGCCAGAAAAAGCTAAGAGCCATACGATTTCACTCATATGTGGGATATAAAGCTGAAACTCGTGGGCACAGACAGCAGTGTGGTGGCTGCCAGAGGGAAGGGGATGAGAGAGTGGGGGTGAAGGGGGTCTTAAAGTATGGTGTTGGGCACACAGAGCAATATATAGATCTTGTCATACAGAAACCCAAACTAAAAACCTATTTTTAAAAATGACGGAAAACTTCCCTAACCTGGTGAAGGAAAGACAAGTCCAGAAAGTGCAATGTCCCAAACAAGATGAACCCAAATAGGCCCACACCAAGACACATCATAATTAAAATGCAAAAAAAGCAGTAAGAGAAAAGCAGTTAGTTACCTACAAGGGAGCTCCCATAAGAATCTCAGCTAATTTCTCAGAAACACTGCAGGCCAGAAGAGATTGGCAAGAAATATTCAAAGTGATGAAAAGCAATGACCTAAAACCAAGATTACTCTACCCACCAAAGCTACCATTTAAAATTGAAGGCTAGATAAAGAGCTTCATAGACAAGAAAAAGCTAACGTTGCTCATCACCACCAAACCAGTATTATATGAAATGTTAAAGGGCTTTCTTTAAGAAGGAAAAAAATATATATATATATGAACAACAAAATGGCAATAAATACATGTATCAACAATCGAATCTAAAAAAAACAAATAAATGAAGAAGTAGAACAGAAACAAACTCAGATACAGAGAACATTTTGATGGCTGCCAGGCTGCAGGGGGATGGGTGAAAAAGGTGAAGGGGTTAAGAAGTACAAACTGGTTATAGAATAGTCATGGGGATACAAAGTACTGCATAGGGAAAGAATAGTCAATAACATTCTAATGTATCGTGTCAGATGGGTGCTTATCCGGATGATCACTTAGTAAGTTATATAATGTCTAATCACCGGGGTATACACCTGTAATTAATATAACAACATAAGTCAGCTATAATTGAAAAAAATTTTAGACGATTTAAAAAAAATTTAAATAGCCCTGGCCAGGTCGGCTCAGTGGTTAGAGCATCGGCCCACAGACTGAAGGGTCCTGAGTTCGATTCCAGCCAAAGGCACGTACCTTGGTTTCAGGCTCAATTCCCGGCCTGGTCAGGGCAAGTGTGGGAGGCAACTAATCAATGTGTCTCTCTCACATCAATGTTTCTCTCCCCGCCCCCCATTCCACTCTCTCTGAAAAGCAATAGAAAAAGTATCATCGGGTGAGGATTTAAAATAAATAAAAATAAATAAAAGTATCAGCATGATGCCTAACAGAGTAGGTTATCACCAAAACGTTATTTTCCCCTTTAATCTGAATTATAATTGACATTACAATTAGCATCTTGTGAAACAATGAGAAGTAGCTCGACAATAAGGGTGGAACAAAAATATATAAGAAAAAAGAAAAATAACAGCAGCAGATATAAATCCAACTAGGTTATTTATAACACTAAATGTGAATGGCTTAAACAATCCAAATGATAGTGAATACCGTGGCTAGGATGCTCAGTTGGTCAGAGTGTCGTCTCAATGTTCCAAAGTTACAAGTTCGATCCCCTATCAGGGCACATACAAGCAGCAACCAATAAATGCATAAATAGGTGAAACATCAAATCAATATTTCTCTCTCAAATCAATAAGTTAAATTTTTTTTAAAAAGATACTAAATGTCAGGCTACATTTATTTATTTAATCCTCGACCCAAGGATATGTTTTTTTAAAAACTGATTCTACAGAGAGGAAGGGAGAGAAACATGGATGTGAAAAAGAAACACTGGTTGCCTCTCATATAAACACCAACTGGGGATCGAACCTCCAACAAGGGTCTATGCCCTGAATGGGAATCAAACCCACACCCTATCAGTATACGGGACAACACTCCAACAAACTGAGCCACCCAGCCAGGGCCAGGCTCCATTTTAAAAACTAACTATATGCTGTCTCCAATAGCCACACTTTAGATCCAACGATACAAACTGAAATTCAAAGGAGAGAAAAAGATAGTCAAACTGCAACCACAAGAAAAACAGAGGGACTCTATTAATCAGACAAAACAGAATAAAACAAAAAAATGTTATTAGAGATAAAGAGGGACATACCAGGATCAAGGCACCAAGAAACTGTAACAATTATAAACACATGTGCACCTAACAGAACATTAAAATACAAGAAGCAAAAACATAAACAAGAATGCCCTGGCCTGAGTGGCTCAGGGTTAGGGCATGTGCAGGAGGCAACCAATTGATGTGTGTCTCTCACAGAGATGTTTCTCTCTTTCTCTCCCCCTCCCCACTCCCCTCCACTCTCTAAAAATCAATGGAAAAAGTATCCTCAGATGAGGGTTAAGAAAAAAAACAAAAACAAAAACACAAACAAGGGAGAAATCAGCAATTCATAGTGTCAAAAATTTCAATTCCCCGCTTTCAACAAATGGACAGAAAAATCAGTAAGAAAATAGAAGTTGTGAACACATATATTCCCACATTCATTTCCAATGGAGGTTAAAAAACAACTCTAGTACCTCAAGTTATACGTCAGTGAGTAATTCATTGCCCGTTGGTTGCCTTGTAGGTTTAAGGCTCTATCCTCTCTGGCAGTTACTGTGGGCTGGATTCAATAGTCCAAGTACTCTTCCAAGTGGTGAAAGGGTCAACAAGCAACCCAGCAATGGGAGCAGGTGCCATCAAACCAGCAAAGCACTGAATTCCTATAGAGAATTCTCCTAGGAACATCCTTGCTTTTACTGGCTATAGGCAAATTAGAGAACCTTAAATGATAATCCTAGACATTGCCTGCACAAAGTTTGGCTCTACTAACCCCACCTATCTGGCTGTAGGTTTTACAGATAACAGAACAGGCAATACTAATATGTTAATGCTGATAAGATGTGGTAGTCCCTCACTGGGAGGCAAGCAGCTCTTGCGAGTTCACACTGATAAAGTGCTATGGTCCAAAGAGGGAAAATTGAGAGGTGTAATTTATATACTCCTATTCCAAGAGAGAATCCATGGTGTTTTCCTGTATGTCATCATAAAAAGTATTTAAATTTTTAATTTAAAAACAATCCTGCATCCTTGAAATAGACAAAGTCTATCCTTAGATCTGACAATTTCAGGATTTTAATCTTGCATATTATTATTCTTACTTCCTGTGAGAAAACTGGAAATAAAACAAGTCACTAAAGACCAAAATATAGGAAGTTGTGAATAGCAAGCTGTGAACTGCAGAATTCAAATTAATTTGTGAAGCAGGAAAAGCAAAGGAAGTGAGTAGCTACTATAAATGGAGACTAAATCTACTATAAATCTAATAATACACGTAGACTTTTCACATAAAAATTTCATTAAGACCTCACTAAGGTTAAGAAAAGATTTGTGAAATTTTTTTCATTTTAAAATATTTTATATCCATGCAAAGCAAAGGATGTGGTTTAGTTGAAAAACTGTCAACCTGACAGCTTCCTTTATTTCTAGGTCAGCCTTATTATTACAAAGTAAAAAATAACTTAAAGTCATACCCTTGAGGAATAATCAACAGTAATATCTATCTTAAACACACATGCATGAGTCTATACACTCAGGAACAGAAAGAACTCTATGAAAATGGATCTATTATATATATATTATGATTGGCCACAGCAGGTCTGCTATAGGTAAGATAAAATATTAAGAAATAAAACATGAAAGGGCAAATTGTGCCACATCAAGAATTGTTTTATATACAAATGCAACCATTATTTTATCAAAGAAACTAGAACACTATTAGAGTGAAAGAGCTTAAGAATAGCCAAGGTGATAGGCATGAAAAAGACTCTTGGTACAACACACACAAAGATGCATATCTAGACAGTATTAACAGGCTTCAATAAATGTTTGTTGAATAAATAAACATTATCTGTAATTAAAGAGATGTGCTTATTTTAATTTAGATGGAAAAAGTCCCACCTCTCCCTTCATTCACATCTATGCCAACCATTTCATTTGTATTTCAGTACCATCCTAAAAAAACTTATCAATGTGTATATATATGTATATGTATATATACACATAACACACTTATAAATATGTGTGTATATACACATGATACAATGCTCTTCTCAACTGAAGAAACACACAAACAAATCTGTTATGGCATTTTCATTGAAATTCTCCATTATGGCTTTGTAAGTTCCACCTCTGATGTGTTCGACAAGCCAAAGTTTATTTGGAGAGTGTCTACTGATATGGTTACATTGAGGAAAGCCAGCATTTTTCATTAAAAAACTAATTTGTATTGGAAAAAGCTCTAGATACTTCTATAAAAAAAAAAAAAATCAATAAAACCACAAACACCAACGCTCTAGTATAAA